GTTGACGCTACGGCGCGGATCGACTAAAATGGGGGGGGGGGGGGGGGCAGGAACTCTCTTCCCACCTTGAAAAAAATAAAAAAAAAGGCTGAGGCCTAGACTGTTTATATCTTCACCCTCTGCAGGCTGCTTCATTGCTCCCTGCAGATGCGTCACTTATGGAAAACAGTGAATATCTCAATACACAGTATGCTTTGCAGGAATATGCTTTGGCTTACCTTTCAGTGGTCTCGGCTTTTCTTTATGGCTGCCTGCAAAGATAGTAGCGGTTCACTTTGGATGCTCGCCAGGGTGAATCTATGGGGGAGTATCTCTAAGTAAGGACTGGTGATTGGTTTGAGTGGCTGTAGCTTTCTGCTGGGTGTTCTGTCTATGATTTCTGCATTACAGTTGTTTTTTTCCAGCACCAGAACTTTTGAGAAATATGCGAAGAGAGAGAGAGAGAGAGAGAGAGAGAGAGAGAGAGGACAGAATTCAGCAAAAGGATTCCTCTGGGAGTTGTATTCCTAGCAGCGTGTTATGTATAATACATGCACTGGAGTGTGTAACAAGCAGCGGGGAGGTGTATTCAGGTCCCCCACGGGGCGCCCCCGGTCATCCGCACCGAGACAAGCTAACCCTTATAGTGTCAAATATAGATTTATTTTTGGGATCCCACATTCCCTATGTCTTCCCCCGACAATCTGCACTCCGTTTCCCCCGTCTGCATCGTTTTGTCCAGACGAGCAGAGAGGACGGCAGCGTCTCGCCTATTTCGAGAAATTAGAAGTGAGGGGTAATGTTTGAGGCATTTTGAATGTCCTAAATTGGGATTCATGGAGCCATCCCATGAATACGAACCCTTCTTTGAATCCCCGTTTGCTCAGAATGAGAGGCAGCGAGAGCCCCGAAGAGGAAGTGGGAAAGTGCAGTATCGTTTTTTCCCAGGCTGTCAGCGCGGCCCTGTTTGTTTTACATTAAACTCCCAGGAAGAGCCTTAGCAGCCAGCCATTACTAAAACTCTCGACTCTACCAGCGCGCTAACTCATTATCGAGAAATCCACCTGGAACTCCCACAATGCTCTCCTCCACACTCCGACGGTTTCTTTGAACCCCCGAAGTTATAAGAAACAGGCAGCAAGTCTGCAGAGTAATTATATGTTACAGTAACGCTGGAGACGGAGGAGAGAGGGGGGGCAGAGGGGGGAGTGACAGACAGGGACCCAGAGAGAGAGAGAGAGAGACAAACCTGTGGAGAATTTCCCGTACCGATAAACAACAGATTGATAAACAATGCAGCCGAGAGATTCAACAGAAGAAAGAAATTCAGCCCCGTTTTGATTTTTTATGTATTTTCTTCTCCCAGTTGGATGTGTCTGTTCAAAATGCTGCAAAAACCTGCCCGATCGGAAGAATTTTAGCAACTGTTGGGTTTCTCTTATTGTGAACAAATCCCATGAAAAGAACAGGAATGCGTTTGTCTTCTCCTCGAAACTTTCTGACCTCCATAACCTGTTCTACTGAAGACATACATCAACAGGACATGAATACATTCCTAGTATCGGTTTACTACAACAAATGTTACTCAAAATGGAGTACAATTGTGCATTTTGATGGGAATTTTCGGGGATTGATAAACGTTTGGTATTTACAGCAGCAGGATGTGGGATTGAAAGAAACCATGGAGCGGCCACGGTCTGACTGCAAGCAGATGCTCTCAGACTGGGTTGTTTTTTTTTGGGTTTGGGCGTATTTCCGTCTGCTGTCTTCTTTTCCTGCTTTCTTATTCTACTACCTTTGCCCATCTACTCACCTCTCCTGAACAGCCTCAGTGGTTCTTTCCAGCCAATCAGCTCATTCCTTCTCACCTAAGCGCCTCCGCCCGCCTCCACCTGCACTTCATCCCCTCAGCAGATCGTTGGTATTTAAGTCCTGGTTTTTGGTTCAGTCTTTGTTGGAATTAAAGTGTAGCTTGTGTTCCACTCTTCATCACAGGAGCTCGATGGCACAGAAAAATAAGATACACCTGATTCTAGGAGCACAGGCATTAGTTTTAAGTTCAGTTCTTTGTTGGCTTTGGTCCTATTTGAATAACAAACCAAAATATATCCAGCATTATACTTTAAAATGTGCGCATTCTTGAAAATGAAATGACTCTTACTGTAAAGCAACATTTTATAACACTAAATTAGTTATATTTCAAAACATTTGCGGGGAGCCTTTTAAATTATTGCTTTATATTAAATCAAGATGAATTCAAAAATGCCTTTTTAAACCTTATAGATCACATTCCCGCACCTATTTAACAATATATGAAGAAATGCATACATTTCCCCACATTCATATATCAAAATCGAAATCGTCTTTTCTGCGTATAAAACAAAATATGACGAGTGCTTACGTAAGCTAGTACAGACCAATTTCAACATCATGATATCCATCCATCCATCAATCAATCTGCAACGTTTAGCGACAAAGGAGGTGACAGACCTCTGGAGCTTTGTATCGTAAGAAGTAGACGTAGTCACCGTGACGTCACCCACTGGTTTGTGGACTACGGTTTTGAAGCTTCGAGTTAAGCTTTTAGGCCGTCGCCATCTTGGTTTTTTGCAACTGGAAGTGACACGAGAGTGTGGAGCTAAGTACAGCCGACCAAAATGTTACTTTAATGATCTGAAAACACACTGTGAAAGGGTTAAAGTTCT